CAGCCTCTGTGCTAAGCCCAGTCAGTAACTGGCACCTGAAGCTCAAAGACCTCCTAGACTTTCTCTCTGATTAAAGAGAGCAGCATTGAATGAAAGGTTTGCAGCCGCTGTAATGAGATTCAAGATTTAAGAAAGAATCTATTTTTATTTTATTTTTACATGAATGCATATTTATAAAAAGATGATTTTAAAAGGATTTTTTACAGTTTGCATTTCTGTTGAAGTATCAATGTGTTGTCATATTAAATTAAGTATTTAATAGTAAATCACTGTAACACTGGTAGGACCAAAAACAGCTGATCTGGTTTTAACATTTTCCATGTAAGTGAGGACCAAAATAGGAGCGCTGAAAGTAATATAAGGACAACATTGCACTACAAAAGCTGATTGTCTGCTAGATGTGCTGCTTGAGGAAGAAGGGACCTTAAGTGAAAAATGTTCTGCTTTATGTAAATGAAGCAACCAGACTGTGAAAAACACTTTGAATAAAACGTCAAACACATGGATTTGACGTCAAATAGACAGATGTTTATCATCTGTGCATTTAAATACACTGTTCAGGAAATGGCAAAAAATGGTACATGACCGTCAGGCAGTGCTGGCGCTGCCACTGTTTTCTTGTGAAATCACATTAAAAGTTTGTGTTTCCTGTTATTCTCGAGTAGAGGTGTCATTTTTTACTATACGCACTTTCACCACATCACTGAGTTAGTTACTTGTTATGAGGAATACGAAGGGACTAAACCTTGTGTGTCATTTTTAGGTGATTTCCTTATTTTAATCGGAAGCTGAGCTTTCGTGCAAAATTATGAATGAATATAAACAAGGAAATATTTCCGATTGAAGAAGCCTAAATACACGTTTACATTTTAAATCAAACTGGTAGTCTCACAGACATGAAAACTTCAGATACTTAAGAAAGCTTATCAATCCAAAACATTTTGTACAGTTTTGTAGTAAAATATATTTGTGGAAATTTTAGTCTCATTTCCAGCAACATCAAAATAGTTTTAAGCAACAGAGGACGAAAGAGATATTGTTGTTTGACTGTTGAAAAAAAAGGTAAAATTCACACTTAGCTCAGAGGGAGGAACTGTTTTTCAGATCTGTGGGCCAAAGTGTGTATTATCATTATTACTGGAACATTAGCTAACATTTTAAAAGTCTCTCTTATCAAGTGTGTTTTATCAGCTGTGGTGTTGATGTCAGACGTCAGAGTGTTCACATACCCACTTATGATTCTCTATATTTAGCCAAGGCATCTCAGTCGATGAGATAATAGTCCCATATCAGTCTTTCCGTATTATTCTGACTTATTTCACATGAGCAATCTTCATTGCCAAATGTTGGTTTTCCATTTATTCTTTTCTTTTCAGCTACCTGATCTTAGCTCAGCCGAGATCAGGGATGTCAAACTCATTTTAAATCAGCTGCCACATAGAGCGCACTTTGATCTTAAGTAGGCCCGACCAGTAAAAATCCCCTTTTTGTCAGTGGAAAAAAGTTTACCTACACAGCCGATCCCTGTGATATCTAAATATAAGAAAAGAAGTGCAATTTCAACAGCATTTCTCAGTTTTACCACATAAATAATGAAACATAATGAAAGAAATCTGTCAGCATGACTCTTTGGGCTTCATTTGTAAACAATACATCTGTGAAATTACAGAAAAGGTTCAGATAGCTCATTGCCCAGACTGCCTTGTAATCATAAAGGAGTAATAGCCTATCTACCTTCCTATAAAGATGTTGATTTAGTAACAAATCTTTTTACTAATCATTGTCTTTCTTTTTTAGACAATCAAAACCAGATTAGCTCCTGTTTTAAAGTCGCCCACCTGGATAATTGACAGGATTCCCTTTTGGAAAGTTGAGTAATTATGGAGGAAAACTCATTTACATGTTCATCTCCTTCATTTTATTTAACACTTCAGTTCGAGATGCGAGGGCTGCCTGTTTCTCAGACTTGGTTTCAAAGAGCAGAGGTAACCCCAAGGTACTATTTGACACCATAAGTGATATTGTTGCTCCTGCTCCACCTGTTGTCCCAATTTCATCGAATGAAGATTAGATTAAAAATGTTTCTTTCTTCGTTGAAAAAGTTAGTAATGTGAGGAACAGTATCTCTCCTTCTGTGTCTCTGTTGTCTGCTCCAACTCAAGCTAGGCCTGTTATTTTAAAAAGATTTTTACCCGTGTCCTTACCTGAGCTTGTCAAATTAGTTACTTCAATGAAAGCATCCTCTTGCTCTCTTTATATTTTTAGCTGGATCTTTGTTTAAAAATGTCTTTCAGTCTATCGGTCCCTGTGAGCTTACAATTATCAATACTTCTTTGGTTTCTGGTCAGGTCCCTGTTTACTGTAAGCATGCTGTCATTCACCCACAGTTTAAGAAAAACAAGCTTGACACTTCTTTGCTTAGCAGTTATAGACCAATTTCAAAACTACCATTCATCACTAAGACTTTAGAAAAGGTTGTGGCTAACCAGCTCATAGCTGTTCTGGATGACTACAGCATTCTGGAAAAATTCCAGTCTGGCTTTTGTACAGCTCACTTTACTGAAACTGTACTTCTTAGAGTCTCCAGTTACACCTTGATGAAATGTGATGCAGGAGAATGCTCTGTTCTTTTGATGTTGGACCTGACCTTTGCCTTTGATACTGTCAACCATCACATTTTGCTAGATAGGCTGAGACACTGTGTGGGTATATCTGGGTCTGCTTTGATCGGTTCGCATCTTATTTGTGTGAACGATCCTTTTCTTTGGCTACCTCTAAGTTTATGTCTTCTTCTGCTTCTTTTGCATGTTCTGTGCCACAAGGTTCTGTATTGGGGCCTTTGCTGTTTTTGTTGTATTTACTCCCTCGTCCGCACCTTCTGAGCAGTTTTAAGGACATTTCTTATCACTGCTATGCAGATGAAATTCAGTTGTATATCTCCTTTAAGCCCCAAGGTGTTTCCAAGTTACAGATTTTGCATAGGTGCATAGACTTTATCAGAGGTTGGATGGCTGACAACTTTCTTTAACTTAATGAGGAGAAAACCAAAGTCCTTGTATGTGCTTCTCATAATTGTTTGCCCAAGGTTATGGAAAATTTAGGTCCTCTTGCTACATTTGGCAAATCTTCTATTAGGAATCTTGGTGTAACTTTTGATTCAACTCTGACTTTGGACGCTCACGTTAAATCTCTGGTTTGATCCTGTTTTTATCACTTCCCCAGCAGGTCCCTGAGGTCATGTGATCAGGGCTTGTTGGTTGTCCAGCACACAAGGCTGAAATCGAAAGGTGACAGAGCTATGACATCGTGGCCCCCAGACCCTGGAACTCTTTTCCTTTGAGCTTGAGATCTGTAGACTGAGTGGTCCTCTTTACAAATCAGCTAAAAACTCGTCATTTTAAACTTGCTTTTGGTTCGTTTTTGTTTCTATGTTTTAGCTTCTGTGAAACACTTTGTGATTTTTATCTTGAAATGTGCTATACAAAGCCATCTTACAGCTGATATAATCAAAAATAAAAAGTTAACTCATGTAATTACAAACTCAAACTCATTTCTTAGTTTAGCGACAATTTTTTTGACATTTAAAAAAAAAAAAGCATATCATATTTGTCCTTGTCAATCGACTGGCCTGCTCCCCTGCTTCTTCTGTGTGTATGTGTGTGTGTGTCCAACATGGGCAAACATCAGGCCAGAAGGATTTCCCGTCCCATGAGTACGCCAAATTGATCATCACATTTTTTCTTCATTGGAACCTGGAAAGGAGTGTGTCACGGGAGTGGAGCTGTTGGGAATTATCAAGTGTTGGCGTTTCACCACCAGATGAGCACTGTGCAGGAGTTTGGAGCACCACAGAGGAAGCTACGTCGTTGGAAACGGTTAACTTTATTGTTCTCTATTTCACTGTAAATAAACTCACTGTTGCTAACTGGAAAGTCCTGCATTTGCATCCTGTTCTTGCACTGAACCTGACAATAATATTACATTAATCATGGAATAAAAGTACAAGATTTCTGACATAAAATCACATAGTAAAATCCAATTAATAAAAGTACTTTCCTGAAATTTTAAGCCTCATTAATTGCATTACAACAGTATAGGACAAAATTATTAGGTAATTTCACTGATTTTACACATGCAAATACATTTTTTAAATATGAAAATCTGTAAAAAAAAAATAGCTTGTGGGGATAGGTTAATTGGATAATCCAAATTGCCACTAGGTGTGAATGCGAGTGTGAATGGTTGTCTGTCCCTATGTGTTAGCCCTGCGACAGACTGGCGACCTGTCCAGGGTGTACCCCGCCTTTCGCCCTATGACAGCTGGGATAGGCTCCAGCACCCCCCGCGACCCTGAAAAGGATAAGCGGAAGCGAATGGATGGATGTATGGATGGATGTAAAAAAAAAAAATACAATTTAAAGTTAAAAATCTTTACGTTATTATCCTATTAAAAGCACATGAATTTACCGTATTTTTCCATAATGGCAAATTTAAATTCTTTTTTTTTCTTGCACCCGAGTTGCTGAAATCCTACTACTTTTTACATTTTTTTTTTCTTTTTTGCTGATGTACATGATGACTCTTGGATTTAAAAATCCACTCTGGTGGTATACAGATGCAATACTATAAACAATTTTGTTACTGAATAATTTTTTCGGGAAATAATTAACAAAGGTCTTCCAAAGTTGATATTCTCAAGCTCTCTTACACTCAGGCATTTTTACACAGCAAGTGACTTACAGTAAGTGCAATCACAGAGCTTGGTGGTTATCCCTGAGGGTGTAGGGTCTATATATGGACATCCTCTTTCCCTCTACATCCCAGAACCAGACCTCACTTTCCTGTTTAGTGAGAAAAGAAACTATTCACTGTCAGAGCTGACCAATCAGCAGACATCTACTCAAATGTCTGACCAATAAGCCTGCAGACAGAAAGAGAAAGTAACCCAGTGTATATAAGAACTGCCTTCATGGCAGTTTGGTTAGCAGACATGTGGTACAGCAGAGAGCAACGCTTGACAGGGAAATCAGGAGCTATGAAGCGGCTGGCAGAAAATATTAAGGTGCTTTACATCGCCAGTGACTGTATGGAGCCTTATGTTGAGGTAAGATTACTCTGCTGAATGTATTCATGTTAGGAGGTTCTGTGGAGGTTCAAATGTGTTCTGTCACCATGCATTGCAGTTTTGTTGCCATTCAATAGTTCTGGTTTTGTGGTTTAAATGATTTGCAACCTTTGTACTTAAGGCCATTAAACTTATATATGTAATGCAGTAAAAACTTCCCAAATAACAAATAAAAGGAGAGCAGTGGATAGCAGTGTAACATGATGACACTTTTTCTGCTTGCCTCCTTCAGATCATCACAGTGAAAGAGTCCAAACGCTGCCAGAGTCTGTGCAGCTCAGACGCCTCCGAGGTAGAAGAGCCCGAGTACCTGCTGGAAGTTGATGATGATCTTCCTGTCCTCACTGACCAGAGTCATCTGCTAGATGACTATCACCTAGAAAAAGTAAATAACACTCATTTATATATATGTGTGTGGATCACAGCTATCAAAAACAATCATCTAAACCAGGGGTGTCAAACTCAAATACACAGTGGGCCAAAATTCATAACTGGAACAAAGTCGCGGGCTAACGTTAATATTTATTGAAATATATTTATTCCTCCAGATATAAGAATGAATCTTTTCTTATGGACTCAAACACGTTTTGCTGAAAAACTGAATATGGAACAAGCAAAGCTTAATACTAAACAATATATATATTAGCTGTATAATACCAGTAGGCCAGCTCTGAGAGTTTGACACCTATGATCTAAACAATTGTACAATTTTTCAGAAAATTTTCTGCTTCACCATCTCCAAATTTACAACTAAAATTTCACAACAGTCATTATTTATGACATAAGCGGCAGCATTGCCTGGAAGTTGTGCTCAGACCGTAAAGTTTTTTATGCAAATTGTAGACAGTCAAGCAGAAGAACAGTGTTGATTTTAGATGGAGTGATGCATTAGTCTGTCAGGACATGATCTGATGAGCAACTCTTTGTCAAACAGCTTGCTGTTCACATGCCAGCAAGGACCCAGGGTTATCAATGGCAGCTGGTCTACAGCACAGCCGTCCATGGGAGCAGCCTGAAGACTCTGTACAGGAACATGGCTGAGGTGGACAGCCCTGTGCTGCTGGTGGTCAAAGACATGCACAAAAAGGTTTGTATCCTGCTCTTTAGTCTCCAGCACTTTTCTGTACCAAGAAAATGAGACGGATTCCTCCATTACCAGCATCTCCTTTAACAAACTGGTGTCTTGGTGTATTTTCAGGTGTTTGGGGCTTTTTCTTCAGATCCATTCAGAGTCAGTAAATACTGCTACGGTACTGGAGAAACCTTCTTGTTCAGCTTCAATCCCGACTTCCAGGTAAGAGTTGAACTTTTATTAATGTTTTGCCTCTAGTCTATTTACAGGATGATTTTTCATGAAATTATTTCACTTATTGTAGAAATCTGCACAGAGTTTAAGATGTTTTTATGTGTTTGTTATCTAGGTATACAAGTGGAGTGGGGTGAACTCGTACTTTGTGAGTGGAAACTGGGATTCATTGCAGCTCGGTGGAGGAGGGTAAGTTATACAGTTATTTATTTATTTTCCTATCAGTGAGTTTTCAAAGATCTGATATTAAAGTTCTATTGTTCTCTCTGTCTTTAGGAGTGGCTTTGCCCTGTGGCTGGATGCTGATCTGTACCGTGGTTCAAGCTTTTCCAGTCCAACTTTTCACAATGCACCTCTCTCCACAAATGAGGACTTTATTGTACAAGACCTGGAGGTCTGGACTGTGCAGAATTGACTGTGAACATCTAAAAAGCCGAGCTAAAAACAAAGCAGGACCTGTTGTTCTGTGTGGAGCTCCCAGACTTCAAGGCGTGTAGGTCGTTTAGCCACTACTGTACGTATCCTGATGGAGCGTCTGCTGTCGTCTGTGCACATGGTTCAGAGTTCCTCTTGTACAGTATGAAGCCTGCTGACGGGGAAGCCACTGTAATGGGATTCAAGAAAGAGTCTGTTTTTATTTTGTGCCGTTTAGTCACTCAGATGTGCAGATGGAGCATTTGCGGATTTTAAAAAACAGCATTGAATGATAAGTCTACAGCTACTGTAATGATATTCAGGGTTCAAGAAAACGTTTATTTTTATTTTATTTTTGTATCAATGCATATTTATAAAATAATGTGTTTTTTTACAGTTTGCATCTTTGGTTAAGTGAGTGTGTATTAACAATAACTGGTTAATTATATTAACCAGTTATTGTTAAAATCGGTATAACACTGTTAGGACAAACAATTTTAACTGGTTTTAATGTTTCCCAGTCAAATCTGTGGCTGCTAGTAAGGACCAAACTAGTAAAGTTGAACAACATTGCACTACAACAGCTGCTGGATAAGCTGGATGTGCTGCTTGGGGAAGAAGTCAACTGAAGTGTAAAATGAAAAATTCTTTTTTTTTTAAATTAAGCACCAGCTTGTCTATTTGGAGAGAAAAGTACTTATGAAAACATCAAATACACGCACATGCCCAGTTGTTTATTTTTTGTCTTTTTAAATACACTGTTCAGGAAATGGTTAAAGTTTTTCTATGACTGTCAGGCAGTGCTGGCACTACCACTGTTTTTTGTGAAATCCCATTAAAGGTTTATGTTTCCTGTTGTAACTGAGTAGATGTCATTTTTTACTGCATGTTACATCAGCAAGGTATTTAATAAGAAGCGTCTGCTGTCGTCTGTGCACATGGTTCAGAGTTCCTCTTGTACAGTTTGAAGCCTGCTGACGGGGCAGCTACTGTAATGGGATTCAAGAAAGAGTCTGTTTTTATTTTATTTTTACATCAAAGTATTTTTATAAAATGACAATTTTAAAATGATTTTTTAAAGTTTATATCCGTGTTTAAATTCAGTGTGTCTTCATATTCTATTAACTATTTAATTGTGAAATACTGTAACACTGGTATGAACAAAAACCGCTGATCTGAGCTGGTTTGAACATTTTCCATGTAAGTGAGGATCAAAATAGGAGCGCTGGAAATAATTTAAGGGCAACATTTCACTACAAAAGCTGATTGTTTGCTAGACATGCTGCTGGAGGAAGAAGGGACCTTAACTGTAAAATATAAGTTCTGCTTTGTGTAAGTGAAATGCCAGCCTGTCTGTTTGGAGAGAAAAACACTTTGAATAAAATGTCACATACATTGCCTAGTTGTTGGTTATTTGTTTATTTAAATACACTTTCAGGAAATAGTAAAAGTTTATATATGACTGCCAGGCAGTGTAGGTGCTGCTACTTTTTTCTTGTGAAAAAGTTTCCTGTTGATACTGTCGCTGTAGTCAGCAGTTGTTACGAATAACATCAAAATATCATGTTACTGATAGTCTGATATTGCCTCTGTTCTTTTGTTAATTGTTCTTTCTTTTGAAGAACTACATTAAAGTTTTTTCTTCCTTCTTACAGTTGCTTTCATGTTTCGCTGTAGCAACTTTCACCATATCACTGAGATAAAATGTGTAAACAAGTAAAAAAGTATTGAACATATCACCAATTTTCTCATTTAATATATTTGTAAAGGTGCTATTCACACAAAACCCATCCAATCCACACGTTATGTGTAATAATGGGGAAAAGTATTGAACACACTTTCAAAAATCTATTCAAAAGCCTTTGTGCAAAAGCCTTGTTGGTGACTACAGCTTAAAAATGAATCCTATATAAAGAGAAACTAGTCACATACATTGCCGAGGTGTGATTTTGTCCCATTCTTCCACACAAACAGTCTTGATGGTTCAGTGGACCCCTTCTGTGAACTCTGACCTTTAGTTCTTTCAGTAGAATTTCATTTGGATTTAGGTCAGCTGATTGGCTGGATTATTTTACCAGCTTTATTTTATTCCTCTGAAACCTCCTTGGCTCTGTGTTCGGGATCATCAGTCTTGACGAAACGTCCACCCTTCTTTCATCATCATCATCATCCTGGCAGCAGATACATTTTTTCATTCATCCTTCCGTTAAGTTATATGAAGCATGCCAGTGTTGTGTGCTGATACGTATGTTCACGTAGTTGCCAACATCTGGTTAGAATTTCATGTCAATAAAATTCTAAGAAACATATTTACTTAGAAAACTGTTGACATGTTCAATATTTATTTTACCTGCTGTAAATACCGAAAGAACGCACTTCAGATATTTAAACAGAGAATCCATCCAGGAAGGAAAATGGTTCAATGGCCTACACTCTACATTTTTGAAAAAAAAACCAAACAAACTGTAAAAAACTGTGGACTTTACGGAGCCCCGCAGGGGACATGGGAGAAAAAAAAATTAAGACGGACTTTTGTGAGATCTCGCAAAAGTCCGTCTTAATTTTTAGTCGCAAAACAAACTCGGGATCTCGCAAAACTTTTGCGAGATCTCGCAAAAGTTGAATTCCAACAATGGCGGCAGCTACTTAGTTGTAATATTACTCTTTCTGGGTCACAAAATACACTTTTAAGATATTTTGAGGCGTGAATGTAGTTGTGTAAACGTCAGATACCTGCTCGGTTAACAAGACATCACATATTTGCAAAAGTGCTCCGACGTTTTTGGAGATCTGACACCCACTATCTCGAAGCTAACGGGAGGTTGAGACCTACTACAGCCGGGAGGAACACCACTTTCCCGGCACATCGTGCCTCGACCTCCCGGTCGGCTTCGAGCTGGCAGCCTCTGAAGAATGCGGCTAAAACTTAGCCCTGGGGGGCTCCGTAGGACTTTGAAAACTGACTAAAATAAAAGTATAAGGGAAATATCCTTAATTTTATAATCTGTTAATTTAGTAAAATGCATTTCCAACTTGCCTGATGAGGCACTGCTAGGCTTGATTATTGTGAGTCAGGATCTCTACAAGCCTGTGAGTCAACTGTTTTAAAGAAGCATGTGTTTTTTTGTAATACCTGTACTTGTTTGACCAAATTTTTCCTCTGACATAAAACTTCCATATCGTAATATTTGAAAAAAGAAAACAAGAATAAACTAAAACTGGTACTGAAACTAATAAAAACTAAAAAAAAAAACTTAAAAAAACCTAAACATTTTTAAGCAATAAAAAGTACAGTTCAAACTAGAATATCTATCCCTGGAAATTAACTGAAAATAAAATGAACTAAAAAAAATGTCAGTACGAAATTAAGAAAAAGTACTCCGAAAATACAAAATCATAATAACTAATAATTGTCAGTCTGTCGCAGGGCTAACACATTGAGATAGACAACAATTCACACTTACAGCCAGTTTAAATTCACTAAACAGAGAACACACACAGAGAGGCCCGAGCCTGGCTTTGAGCCCAGAACCTGTGCTGATCACCACGCTACAATCATCAGCCGCTTCTGTTCCAAAGAAACTAAACAAAAGCATTGTGATGAGAAGCCATGATTAAAAGGTACATACAGTAATGACTAATGATTTTAATTTGTTATTGTGTTGCACAGAATACATCAAGCCCAGCCCAAACAGGCTTTCAAGACCCCCCGCAACCAGAAATCACAGCCAGAGTAGCACCTGTGCCAAGATGTTAACTGAAGTCAGCTATGAGGTGGGGCCTCCATGGAGCAGAACGAGTTGTCTAGCAAGTGGATTGAGATCTGGGGGATTTGGGGGGCCAAGTCAAATGGTAAAAGGTCTGTATTTGTATAGCGCTTTACTTGGTCCTAAGGACCCCAAAGCGCTTTACACAATCATCCACCCATTCACACACTGGTGATGGCAAGCTACATTGTAGCCACAGCCGCCCTGGGGCACACTGACAGAGGCGAGGCTGCCGGATACTGGCGCCACCGGGCCCTCTGACCACCACCAGTTGTGCTCTTCAAACCATTCTTGAACCATTTCTGCTTTGTGGCAGATTGTGGGAAGGCCCTGCTGAAAGAGGCCACAGCAATCAGGGAATGTTATTTCCAGGAAAGGGTCTGCAACAATGATTAAATAGGTGGTACGTGTCAAAGTAACATTCACATGGACTAAGTTTTCCCAGCAGTACATTGCTCAACACTGTGAAAGAAAAGAGAAACACCAGGTCATCTTCTTCCATTGCCAGTATGGATGTAATATATCCCACCCACTAACAGGTGCTGTGATGAGGAGATGATCAACATTATGCATCTGTTATGATATTAAGCCTGATCGGTGTATAATAATATCATGGCAAGCTACAGCTCACTATGTGATTTAGTCCAAAGAAAAACTTTTTTTCACATTTTTGCCTGACTGCTCAAGAAATCCATCTCATATCACCTTGAACACCTTGAACTACAGTCTTTAGCCTTGCAGCATAGTTTAATGCAGAGGAGGCGCACTTGTTTGCAAACACCTAACAACAGACCATAACGTATATGTACCCATTGCATGTGTCACAGGGGAAAGGAACTAAGAAAGACCAACAGTAAGGGAAAACCACGGCTAACCACATGAGTAAATGCAGGGGCGGGTTGGTAGGTGGTTAGTTTTGTTTAAGTTACAAAGTGGAGCAGTTTCACTGCAGCCTTGACTAACAATATAGCATCACTTAACGTCTATCTCAGTTAAGCTTTGTGCTGTTGACTTTAGACCTCAGAGTCTTTAATGCAACACTTCCACTTTAATATTCTCTAGCCTGAGCAAATTAATGCTTAGTGAATGTGTGCGTGAATGGGTGGATGACTGGATATGTAAAGCGCTTTGGGGTCCTTAGGGACTAGAAAAGCGCTATATAAATACAGGCCATTTACCATTTACTTAGTTACCCCCTTCTATTTGGATCATATAGTAAGATAACTGACTGGTTTTGTTCTCTGACAGTAAGTGTTGGGTTTATTTTTATTATTTATTTATTTATTTATTTATTTATTTATTTATTTCTGTGAGACAACCATCCAGAGAATGCTGAAAATACAACTTATATAAAAAGTTACATATGAGGGCCCTTCTGTTTTCATCAGAGAACATCAAAGGTGCGTTTGACACAATTGTTAGTGTGCGACAGATTCGGTCACCAGAGAAAACTGAAAATATGTCGCCCTCTTCTGACAATTATGTTCCCTGACATCTGCAATAAGGATCGACGAGCGATCGAGCTTGATGCGTTCGATGTTCTCTTGGATCGACTCAGCATGCCTGATTGTTGACAGCTCCGTACAGCACAATGGCCGAAATCCAGGATACACAACCTGCTCGGGTTGATATTTCCAAAAGCAGCAGCAATGTGCCAGCCGAAGGATATGATAAGAAATGTATTTTCTGCAGGATTGTAAACAATGAAATGGGCACAGAGCTTCTTCACTGTGTAAGAAAACTGTAATAAATAATTACGAATGCGTTGCTAGCTAGCCTAAGACACTTTAATTGTCAATACCTGCGTTTACAAGTAGTAAAAGCTCTAAAACTAGTCATTCAGAAACGTTTAATTTCACTGTATACGAGTGTAATTGAGTGGTATTGTAGCTAGTTAGTCCGATAGCTGTAGAGTTATTGATTTACTGTGTTGAAAGGTGTGGCTCACCCCCGACAGATACCGAAGGCTGGTTGGTTAAACCGTAGCATAAGTTCATATTAAAAATACAGAGAATAATAAGCACATATTTATACATATACATATATATATAAATCAGACTCCAATAAATTACATTATATTCAGTATACTAATTGCATTTGGCACCAATGCTAGAGGCATTCTGTAATGTCGTTCACGTTTAAAGTGTAAATGTGTGTGTGTGTGTGTGTGTGTGTGTGTGTGTGTGTGTGTGTGTGTGTGTTATGTTGTGTTATTACTGCAGGATGAAGAGATCTCATGTTTCAGGGACATCAAACCTGGAGCCCCCCATCACTACCTTGTTGTCCCAACCAAACATGTAGGAAACTGTAAATCCCTCACTAAAGAGCACGTACCCTTGGGTAAAGTTTAAACTGCATACTTTTTAAGTAATGCTCATGGATTTTCATTTTATATCACCTCAGACAATATTGCTGACATATTACTGACTAATGCTATGGATGGTTGGAAAGTATTTTTTAAAAAGTAACTGTAAATGTTTGAAATGGATCATCTTTTTCTATTGTTTATGTCCAGTGAAGCGGATGGTCGACAAAGGGAAGGAAATCCTGGAAAAAAACAACATAACGGACCTCAGTGATGTCAGGTGGGTTTCATTTTGGTACTTCACAGCTCTCTATGGTAATTTACATTAGTGGGTTATGAATGTATGACCTTCAGACAGTTTTAGTCAGTTATCTTTTGTTGCCAGACCACCAAATATTCACCGTTTTGCGGTCAGTTTTGTTTTTTAGTTACCAATAGAACAAGCACTTAATCTAGTCAGAATTATAGTAGATCATTTGTAATGCAGTTTAATTGCTGATGACTAGCTTAACCTTAGTTACAGTTTGCTTTGTTGTTATATCAGATAAAATGAGTTAAAAAAAAACTAAAAAATAAGTAGTATTTCTAAACCCTTTTCTTTGTCTGCAGATTTGGTTTCCACTGGCCTCCATTCTGTTCTGTCACACACCTCCACCTTCACGTCCTGGCACCTGCTAGTCAAATGGGCTTTATGTCACGTCTCTTCTACAGACTCAACTCCTACTGGTTCATCACAGTAAGCCCTGTACTTCAGTACTACAAGTTACTGTGTAGAAACTTTATTTAAACTTTTTGTGTGGTAATGGAAATTTCAAATGAAAAAATGTAGACCAGTGTCAGTCTCTAACTTGTTCTGTATAAGGACATTGCTGTGTAAACCTGGTTTTAAGTAACTTGATTGCATCAGTGAACTGCCCTCTAGATTTGCATTGTCAACACATTAATATATTCAGTTCAGTAACTCCTAGTGGCATCATCTTAGTTCACCCAGAAAGATTGCTGACAGTCTGACTTCTGTTCTGTCTGCCTTTGTTAATGTTTTGCAGGCAGACCAGCTGATTGATCTTCTCAACTCTAAAGGCGAGACAAACTGATCACTGGATCTGGATCATTGGATCTTGCCATATGTGACTGACTGCACTGAGGTGACTTGCAGATCAGGCGTCTTGCAGATATCATACTGGAAACTACTTTGCTGACTGTTTGTCTACAACTAATGACTGTATTTTAAACAGGTGCTATACCTGCGTGAGATTTTATATCCTAAGTAGTATGAGACATAAAGCCTTAAAGCCTCTTTTAAAATCCCTAACAAGTGCTGTAAGGAACACTGGAGTTTTGACAAGATAGGTAAATTTATTTAAATCTGCTCTAATAAAATTGTATTGCTTTTAGGGACCAATGAGCAATCAACTTTGAATTCCTATAAAATAGAACAGTGTGTTCATTATCATCCTGTTACAGAAACACTTCAGTACGCTTTGCTTCCTTCTTCCTTCTTAGATTTCTGTATAGTGAGCTCAGTTAGACAAACACACTTGGGACACTACTTGTTTTTGCATTAAAGGTACTAGATTGTTGGCTAAATATAAATACTGACATGAATGTTTGTGATAAGTCCATATTATACCAAGCATATCTCAGCAAATTACTGAAACGTCTTTCTCTCTTTCTTTTAAACTGACTGTAAATTTCCCTTTGACACAGTGCAAGATATTATACAATGTGGGTAATGGCCAGCGGTAGTGTGCTACTTTCTGTGAGGCATTATGGGCTACTTAGAGTGCCCTGTACACACTGACACAGAGAGAGCACAGAAGATACAGTGTAAAACCCACTGTATACTGAGTGTTCTGGGATTTCAGATTTCTCACAGGCCGTTTGATTTCCTGTCTTGCACAGCTGCTTTCATGCCTTGTATGTCTGCTCTATAACATGAAACTGCAGAAACCCCCACCCCCCCCGAAAGTTTGCATTATTGATATCAATCATATATAAACTGATAATCTTGGCTATGAGTTCTTACATCAAGCTTGCAATTTGTGAAAACCACTCAGTAATCCTCTGATGCTGATAGTAATGTTAATTTATTTTGTTATCAATGACCTCATCAAGCAGTGAAGTACAATTGGGGGGGGGGGGGGGTTCAATGTCATGTGGAAAGATGAATGAAAGTATGTGCTGTGAAATTATGTTATACTTTGCAGTGGTAATTGGAATAAAACCAACAACAACAAAATGTACTGTACAAAAGGTATGCACTTTAAGAATGGCTTTAATTTAGAATAAACAGTATTCTGTTGCTTCTCAGTGCCTTTGTAGTATCTCAGTATGGTTTACATACAGACCCTTTTTCAGTTTCACTCTTAACCCACCTGCAGTAACACTTTAACACACAAGACATCATTTCTTATCTTTATTATGATACAATTAGGAGACCGTGTTAATCTATTAATGCTGTGTGTTTAAAAAAAATATATTCCTGTACTTTCATACTTTCAATAAGAGCTGGTACTCAGTCTATAGTTCCTTATGATGTGGTTCTTATTGCTTTAAAGCTGCACTATTAGTTTCAAAATTTGGAACTGTAGCAATATTGTGTCATTGCAAAGCACACTTAAAATAAATACATGTTGAAGCAGTCAGGCCAAGTCGGGTCAAGTTCATCCTATAGCATCATTATGTCTGTCACAGGCAGCCTCATGTTCTCTTTGGCTTCGGTTCGGTCCCATTAGGAAATCTGATGTCATCTCACTGCTCCACTTTCACCTCGTCAACAAGCTGCTGGAGGGAAAAAAATGCTCAGGTTTGAAGTTACCTTTTCTCATTTTGACTGACATTTAGTGGTTTCCCCATGTTCTTTGTCTGCACAAGCTGCCACATCAAGTGCCTGTGTACCTGCGTGTACTACACGCACAATGAATCAAGGCATCTAAACATTTGTGGTCACTGCAACAAAATGATAACTACGTGATCATCCTTCCCCTGCCACAGCATCTCCCCTTCGAAGTCAACCAGTCTCTGTTTCCTCGCTCGCAGAAGAATCCCAACCAGTTTATTCGAGATAGTCACATAATGCTCAAACAGCTTTCCAAATCTTACAGTAATCACTTTCCCATCGCTGCCCCCCGACTCCCCAATGCTCCTTATGACCTCACACAGCTCCTGAACCTCTCTGCTGATGTGTGTGTGAGCATCCCTCCCACGTTGCTCTGTCAGGGAACCCTGCAGGGGTTTCCCATACTCATCCCCTCCCCTCGGAGGGACCACCGTGCTCGGTCTGGTGTTGTGACTGAAGGGATTGTGCTTCTGGTACTCCTGGTGTTCGCTGGACCATTTCTGCCAGTTTTCCTTCAAGCCTTTCACAGAAACAATGCACGCCGCAGGAGTTTGGGCGTTCTCTTCTGTTTCCACGGTGGTGCTCTGGCTGTTTGTTCCCATGTTTGACTCTGTTCAAGACAAATTTGAATATACAATCATTTCTCAACAGAGAAATACAGCATCTTAATCTTCCTAATGTTACTTTATTGTTTCCAAATTTAAGTCTCACCTACTTATTTTTCACACAACTGTTCTTGTGATCCAGCTGTGTGTATGATCACATCAGTTATGACTGGCAGCCGCAATCTTAAATCGTAAATTCAGCTGACAGCTCATTAAAACGACATTACTTATTTCCCACAGTTAATATAATATCATTATCAAAACAACGAGTGAACATCTAGCTTTGTAAAGTAACCTGGAAGTTTTCAGTCCTTCAGATTCTCGTAGTAAATATAAACAGTGACACACTGACCTGATCCTCCCTTCACCTGCAGTTACGCTTCATTGCGACCAAAGAGCAAGAATCCTGGTTACACTGTTACTAAGTAATACAACTTAACAACACTGCAGCAGTGCTGACAGAGGCAAGAGTGCGGATGGATGCCTTTTTGTCACCAGACAAAACCACTGTGATGGACATCAACTTCAGCCAGTGACACGGCAGAGACAACCCGGACAGCCAATCAGTAGGAGGGGCGGTCTTACAAGACGGCTCTGATGTAAAGCAGATTACAGACTTTATCCACACATGTATGACCAGAATAGTAAAGCATACCGATGTGTACTGATGACAAAAATTTGCTTACTTGTGACATTAAAAAGACACATACACACAGGTTTATGAAAAAAGTGATAAGGAGTTTTTTTAATGCAAATAAAGGTTGCAAAATAACATTAAAAACGAAGTATTCACCTGTGCTTATGTATGATAATGTTAGCATAAAACAGCGGCAGTACAAAACTTACGAGTGTATCATAGCTAAATGAAACACAGTACCTAATTTTTCTGCCATTTATAGAAATACAGTCCCCAAGCGGTACTTTGTGTCAGAGCTCGGTTTCAAGCCGGACGTATTTTTAAATTGCGACAACAATGGCTGCCTTCAGTAGTCGATCATGCCTCCAGTATTTATTGCATCTTGCCCAGGATAATCTAGACTTCAGGTTACCGGTAACAAGCATCAGATATTGTCGGTTTCTCTTTGGTTCAGAGTGATTAACTGTTCGTGTAAAAAGCGATAATTTGCAGACTGGAGTCTCCTCTGACTCTCGGTTTGTGTTGGGCTCATTCAAAGTATGAGCCCATAACAAACAAAAAAGTAACCTACTTTTGGAGACGAGATGTCTACAATTTGATCACAGCAATACATCAAACTTGAGCAATGGTCTGGCAGATAGAGCATATTGCGTTGTTTTATGGCATTATTTTATGCCTACATCACATAGAAACAGTTTGTAGTAATTTAATTTAATATTTCATATGTGATTCTTCTGTTTTGTATAACATTAATATTCTCGCTTTATATGCCGTCTTATGTAGGAAATAAAAGCTCTGCTGGCTCTCAGAGGGAAACCATTTCATCCCTGTGAAAACTTCAGAGAAAAGGTTTGCATGTTGAGGGGCTTATTCTAATCTGACTCTCTATTCTAATCTAAGACATTGATTATTGGCAGCAGAATGGTGATGTTTCTCTTTAGTAGATCTCACATTTCCCGGCAGTCACTCCACATCTCTCCTCTTCTCCGTAGTCTCCTTTCTGGTGCCTGGATGGTTTGTCTGAGGAAGATGTCCACAGCATCATGGCCAGATCTGTGTGTGCAAAGTAAGTGTTTAAGCTTTGCAGTTAGGAAAGTGAAAGAGCCACATCTCTACTGATGGAATAACTGTATGCTGCACAGATTCAAGACTGGCTGAGATGTGGCTTTAGTTCATGTTGGGTTGTCGTTCTAGGTCTGCTTTTGAACTGTGGGGCCACGGGCAAACACACAGTGAACTCAGAACATCCCTTCTGAACTTCCCCTCAGAAATCATGGTTTGTTGTTTAGAGTTTGTATCATACTATTCTGTTGGAAAGACAGATTTTTGCAAGTGTATGAAATACACAATAACACATTTCATTTCTGTTTCTGCTCTTCATTCCCTGCAGAGTCCATTCATGCACAAAGACTCCACATACAGGATAAACGTCTACACATTCAACAAAACTTTGCTGTTTGCAGACAGAATCAAAAGGATCGATGTAAGTATTTAGATGTGCGAGTGCATGTAAAAACATATAAATATGCACATAAAATAATAATAATACTAATAGTAAAATGCAATCTCACCAGGCCTTGGAGTATCTTCCCTTTGAGGGGACAGTAAGCCTTAAGAATCCCCAGCACATCTTCTGCTTATTAGAGGATTACGGCACAGACCCCAACAATATCCCTGAGGATCCCAATTACATCTACTTCGGCAGATGGGTAAGATGCATTTTGCTACTTGTGTACATTAAATGAATGTGGAGCGATCTACAGCTGAACTCTTCCATTTTACAGATAGCAGACGGTCAGCGTGATCTGATTCGCTCCCACAGTGTGAAGAACAGACACTTCATAGGAAACACCAGCATGGACGCTGGCCTCTCATTCATCATGGCCAACCACGCCAGGGTCAAACAGGATGACCTAGTTTTTGACCCATTTGTAGGCACAGGTAAGTTAATCCAGTCGTTGCTTCCCCCCACAGACAGCTATAGACAGCAAAGTAAATACTTTAATGTGAGTCAATGTGTTTTAGGGAGCCTGCTGGTTGCGTGTTCTCATTTTGGAGCTTATGTATGTGGAACTGACATTGATTACAACACTATTCACGGGAAAGGTAAGCTCTGCTCATTAGAGATTACACCCTGCAGCAGTTGAAGTGTTACAGGTTAAGGATTGCAGTTTTATTTTATGCTGTTTTTCTATTTGAATCAGATCAGTCCCCTGTTCAGATTTGCTGATGGTGCCTTTTGTCTTTTAGGTCGGTCAAGCCGTAAAAACCAAAAGTGGCGAGGGCCCGACGAGAACATCAGAGCCAACCTGCGGCAGTACGGGGCACAGAAGATGTACGTGGACGTGATGGTGTCTGATGCCTCCAAGCCTGCGTGGAGGGATGCTGCTCTGTTTGATGCTATCGTTACTGACCGTAGGTCCTTTAGTTCACCCTAACCAGACCACAAGGGATTTAACATCTCCTTTCATTAAATATCTCTGTTATTCTTTAGATTTGATTGTTTCTTTGAGCTGTTACAAATACATAAAAAATGTTGTGAAAATATGCAATTATCAGGATTCTGACAGGGAGTGAAACGCTTTAGCTATGGTTCAGGCTGTAATTTGAAAATTATGTGCTTCTCATTAGAGTCTGTTGAACACATTATTTCTGCCTGTTTCATGGATCATCTTTTTATGTTTTGTGTGGCTCTTCAGCTTATGGACACTCCAAGATTTTTGATGTTTCTTTAGAATTTGAGTAGCAGTACTGCAGCTAGCATGTTCCTCAGCTACATCTATTCTGTCTGTGTTCTTCGTAAACAGGAAGAAAACTCTTCTTGTTTTATTTTTTTGATACTCACTGTGTGACTTTTCTTGTTAGCTCCATACGGTATCCGGGAAGCCACGAGGAGAACAGGCTCCCACAAGGACATTGCTAAACCTGCTGAAGGCGTGTAAGTTCATCACATATTATAGTTATACCAACATCTATCTATCTATCTATCTATCTATCTATCTATCTATCTATCTATCTATCTATCTATCTATCTATATATATATACATATATACATATATATACATATACATATATAAATAACTGGGGGATTAGTTCAATGTTTAGTCCTGAGGAAACTAGTACATGAAATGCCAAATAAAACCACAAAGTTTTGCCATCACTGCTCTGTTCTAAATGTTGTATTTTTATTTCAATATTCTGCACAGTTTTGAAGAGTCTCACGTCCCAGTCTCACAGGCGTACCACCTGAGTGACATCTTCACAGATCTGTTAAACTTCTCCGCCCACCACCTGGTCATGGGAGGGAGGCTCGTCTACTGGCTGCCTGTCTACAGGCCAGAGTGAGTAAACAGACTTGGCATCATCACCTAGTCATACACATTTTCAGAGTGATGATAAATCTGTCCAGTGTAGGAGGTAACTTACCAGTTAACTTGTCAGTACTTAAATTTGTAGAACTTCGTAATTGTTAGCATTTTGGGGTGGCGTCAGAAAGACATCTGATGCCAATTTCTGAATAAGAGGGGAGCTGAAAGCTTCTGCTTTTTCAGTGCATTCAAAGCAAATATAATATACAGCAGTGTTTCTGGGGCATTTTCACATATCTTTGCTTCTTTGCATGATAGAGCTGTAACCTGCATTTATGGATGGCATGGCTGACTGTGTTTACACATAATGTTTTTAATGCAGTGTCACCCGAGGGCATCAACAAGCTAATGTTTTTTTGAAATAGTAATAACTAACTAATAAGCATCATTTTTGCTTCTTGTTTATGCCCTATCCAGTCATGAATATGTCCTTTTAAACTTGTTAGTAGGGCTGCTCGATTATGGCAAAAATGATAATCACGATTATTTTCACTGAAATTGAGATCTCGATTATTTGACGATATTTATTTAACAATAACAATGTATTGAATAATGACTTTAAAGATTGTCAAAAAATAATATAAAATAGTGTGCAAATACTGATAACAGTGCAAATGTTTGCAATATAAAAAATAAATGAAAAATGTAAACATCTATGTTTAGTGAACTTTGCAGTGTTGCTCTGTGGTGCAGCTACACTGTAGCAAAGTTTACACACTGTGTCTACTTGATCCACGTCTGACTCCGCGAACCCATAATGTTTCCACACCACTGAAGTTTTTTTTTTTTTACCTCTCTTTTCAACCAACGGCAGTCACTCTCCTCTCCAAATAACTTCTGCTTAGCTTTCCGAGCTTCCCTCGGTCCTCTTAATTGTTGTGACACGTGTTCGAAATGCAGAGAGGTGCGCTTGATTTGCCACATGGAGCAGCGTGAGAGTAAAGCACGAGGGAGGGGCTAATAATCGGCTCAGTCATTTTTAATGATCGTTGAAAGCCCAGATCGTAATCGTGATTAAAATTCGATTAATTGAGCAGCCCTACTTGTTAGGTGTATTTGGATTGACATATATACATATCAATACACATGTGCAAACACAAAGTGTATAAATAGTGGGTCAAAGCCCTAACTTCTCGCTATACCGTGTAAAAACCATATTTTTGTACATCTTTGACTTAAACTGATTTTAATTCATCATGTATCTTACAAATACCATTTATTTAAATAATGATCATGTGTGGAGCCAATACAGAACCCTGGAGGAAACCACATACAGAGTCCAAGCAGTTACAGGAGTATTCACACAGCTTCACAAAAAACATGTATTAATTAAATGTTTTTTTACTCAGTGCAATATAACCCGTAATTAATATGTCATGACTGATTGTATCAAATGTTTTTAAAAGATCTTGAAGTCCTCCAATTGCATACCGTTTCTAAACAATAGCATCTGTAATCTCTTCGCTTGATTCAGTTAATGATGGTGATGTTGAACTGAATCCATACTGACTGTCGGGGAGTAATTTAAATGTATCGAATAATTTGTTGAATCGGTTATTGAACAGTTTTTCTAGAGGCTTGAAGAATTGTGGGAGTTTAGAAACAAGCCTATAATCTTTGAAGTGGTGTCTATCCTCAATTTTATACAGTGACACAATTTAAAATATTTTTATATTGTGTGGACTTTTAGCGGCTCTGAGATGCTTTTAAAACCTTCATAGCAATCTTCATATCAGTATCATTGCAGTCAGTGGATGCTTTGTAATTATACTTATTTACAACATTAGTAATTTCTTTTTCCTTTATTCCCCTTTTCACTGCTGTAAAGAACACTGAGTTAGGATTTCAGGATTCATTGCAATATTCTTGGACTATAACAAGTTATAAGGAAACACCAGGGCTTTGTAAGGTGAGCTGGTGCGTCACTGCCAAGATAAGATGGCAACTGCATGTTTAGTTATTGTTGATTACCAACAACAGTTTTGAATTCGGAATCCAGATTTTAAGCTCAAACCTCATCATCTCAGTTTGGAAATAGTTTTGTCTTTGCCTTTCTTTAAATAATGATCTGTACAATAGGGGGCAGGCTTACACCATAAACCAGAAGTGCACAATGCAGGCCTGTTGTAAGCACAATCGACGAGGTTTCAATTTGTTTTTGGCCTAATTAATTACCCAAATAACTAAACAATATGAAGCAAAGAGGGAATACATAGCAGACACTATTACATTTTATAAAAATGACTGATTACTGTCTATAATTAAAACTGGCTTTGTGATTTTTATTAAGGGAAAAGTGAACCCGAGAGACAGACGACAGTGTTTTACTGGATTTGTACACTCACAAAGGACCTTCTACTATCTTAGGGTATTTCCCTTTATTCTGATTCCCATGTCTAACCACCTGTGTGGATTACAGTAATGTTCAGGTGTGCCGAGGCTTTCTTGCCCATACAGCTGGGCCACGGCAAACCACAACTAACAGCAATGTGCACTTTATATGCTGCCTAAGACGGCTCATCAGAGACAAAGTTGTGTATTGTTAAAGCTTCTGTGCGTTTGCAGAAAGCGAAGTGCTGACTCTCAGTGCAGGTGTTCATTTGTGTAGATATGAACCACAACAAACTAAGGCAGAAACGGACGTTAGGCGAGGAAAAGCGCCACGGGGCTCAAACTCTTTCTGGTCACTCATTAAAAGACCAGGAAGCAGATGGGATAATCACGGATCCAGTCACCGGCTATTATTGTATCCTTGTGACTGAGAGACATCAGTTTGCAACCCTTTGACTTTTATCCATTTAGCCGCTTTGTGTTTCTGCACGCATCGAAACATATGCACGAATGTGTGTGTGTGTGGTCCCGTGTACGCGCACGTGCACACGTTTGTGTCACCATGTTCACACATTTGTCTTTGCTACTCATCTCATCGGTGCTTGACCCGGTGCCTGTCAGAGCGCCGTGCCAAAATAAACATCTGAGGCCAGGCAAGTCACATATATGAACTATGTCTCTATGGTGTGCAGGCTGATCTGCGAGTGTGTGTGTTTGTGTTGTTGGATATGTGTGTCTGTGTGTATAAACCCAGACGCAGCCTGTCTCCTGGGTCTAATCTGGGGCTCTACAGGGGAGATATCAGGTTTCCAATACCCCCACATACATGTGTGTGTGTATCTGCGGCAGAGGCTGTGATAGAAACAGTGGGGACTCTGTGTGTGTGTGTGTCCGTCTGCCTCATGAAAATGGGGGCAGTGTGTGTGTGATGACAGGGGACACAGAGTCCTATCAGCAAAAGACAGAGCCTAGACCAGGTCAGACCGCTTAAACTCTCTTCCTTTTCTGCCCTCAAAAAATAAATGAAGAAAAAGTATTGAGACGGATGATGTGTTATCCATCATCAAAGCCATAAAGTGAGCTAATTACAGCATAAATAAGGGAAGTAAATATATGAATCAGCTGCATAGTCAGAGGTAATATTAGATGAATAAATGAGTAGTGGTGACATTTTCAGATTGTAATTTCTTAGTCGAGTTTAAGTTTCCAGAGAAATCGTATAGCAATAATTAAGCTTTTGCATGCTTCTACATTCAGTGTGATGCAACAGTACCGTTGTAATTTTTAGTTAAACTGTTGAACTTAAACAGCAAGTCTTCTCTGTCAGTTACAGTAAAGTAGACACTTGGAAGCAATACCTGTAGTACCCAGAAGCTGCGACCTGTCTATTGGCAACGTGAACATCAGTCTGTAAACAAGAAATACTTGAAACTTGCAACTCAGACCTTGGTGATAGATTAAGGGTGCAGCACTGAAACGGGGCAAAATAATGTGTCAGTGCAAACCCCATATAGCTCTCATAGGTGTGGTTAGTTTCTGGTTGATTTACAGAAGTTGCGCTGTTTTCTAAGCACAGGCACGGTCAGTTCATTTCAAAACCAAGCGCAAATAATAAGACGTGTTTTTTTTCTGTTATAATTAGTAATAAATTCTGTTTTGCAAACATTAGTAAATAAGTTTGCGCACTTGGTGCAATGGGGTCAGTCACAAAAATCTGAGTTATTTCCACCATTTAAATGCAATTTTGTCTTTATAAATACAAACACTACTGTTTCTTCTTCTCTTCTTTTTTTGTTCGTGCTGGTGGAGTGTTAGTAAATCTGGCCCCGGAAGTCTACAGCTATCATTTATATACAGACTGTGTTTGGACTATCCATTTGTTCACTCTGTGGTGAGTTATAGTGAGTGAGCCAAACTGTTTAACTCTATTGCTTTTTAAAAAAAAAATCATTTTGTTTATTTACTAATTTATTACAGTTTCCCATTAGAAATGTGCGAAATCTTAATGTTGATAAGTCTCGAACCAGTTTTACTGTGAATCTTAAATACCTGTCCAGACAAAACAAGAATGTCAAACACACAAAAATGGGCTCGCGTGATGAAAGTTAAAAAAACTGATGTGAAAGGGGAAAAAAGAGCTAGGGCAGGAGATCAAAGCCATCTCATCTTTTGAATCTCAATAATTAAGAAAAAGTAATTTAAAGGAAACAAGTCGTTAAATAAAATAGGCTGTTAGTAACATGGTACGTTGTAATTACAAAGAGAAATAGGGATGGAAAAACAAGAAACTCATCCTTGTCATGATGCAGTTCATTTGTGCGGTAGAAATACTGAGCACCTGATTGGCAGCTCAGAATTGCTGCCTGGCTGCATCACTGCCCAGTCACCACGACAACCAAACATCCCATTACCCCAGAGCCCCAACTGCCGCCATGGCAACAAGGCAAACAGTCATGCACAAATCAGACTGAGTTGCTGGCGTGACGGTAGTTCGGAGAAAGTGCTACTGACACAAATATGCAAACACATACATCAGCTGCCGTTAATACGCCCTAACCCTGCCTGGCCGGCGATGACAGAGCCAGCAGCCAACCCGACAGGTCACCTCACTTTTTCCACCTTCATCTTCACACAAAACGAGCTACCTTAGCCTCGCCAGCCGTTGTGGCACCGAACCTCTTGAATGTTTTGTGTTTATCTGAGAAACAGAAAGAAGCACACACAGAGCAAAGAAAGACATTAGAGCGCGCTGAAAAAACCCCCAAAGAGCTGGCAAAAGTTAGGTAGTAATCTTGACAGAATTACTGTGTGTCCTGGCAGCCTTTTAATGGCCTCCAGATGACATCTGTAGCGCATTGTTATCACAAGGGACTTACACTTCCTCTCATTCAGACTTTTAGATGCGTACAATCAAAATTTATTAGAGTCAGATGATGGATATTGGTTTAGCTTTATATTTCTGTCTCTTTGTTTCCTCCTCATTTAAACTGATCTGTAGCGTGTGTGTGTGTGTGTGTGTGTGTGTGTGTGTGTGTGTGTGTGTGTGTATCTGTGTGTTTGTGGGGACTCTTTCCAGGTACTGCGAGGAGATGGTTCCTCTTCATCCATGTCTCCAGCTCATCAGCAACTGTGAGCAGACACTCTCAAGCCACACCTCACGGCGTCTGATCACCATGGAAAAGATCAAAGAACCAGAGGTGTGTCCATGTGGGTGTTTGTGTAAGAGATGAAACAAAATGAATCAGTTGCCTAATTTACAGAGAAGAAAAATATTTTCCAGTTCCAGTGCGAGGACATGCTGTTTGTCGTCACATGATAGCAAATGCAGTAAATCAGGCTGCGTTGGATGCTGATTAGAACAATTAAATAGATGGCATTTGTCATTATTTTTCATTCTGTTAGCTGTTTGCTTCAGGTGATGTCATTCATCCAGTTACTGTCCAGATGAAGCCAAGGGATTTTAAAGTGCACATTTTCATCACAACTAGCTAAATATGTTGTTTTTAGGTTATCTATTGTGGTTGCATCATTACAAATGACCTCATATCTTCACAGCAGACCAAATTTGTGTGCGTGCTGCAGAATTTGTTTATGTGTGTGCATGAAACACACATAAACTGATATAACTTCTTTTTCTTCTAGTAAAATGAGAACATGTGTCCGCCTGCCTGTTCCTTCATGCGTTTAATGTTTTTTCATGGAGTTTTTTTTTTTTCTTGTCATGAACGCACGCGTCATGAGACGGATGTAGTATGCGCGTATGTGTGTTCTTTTACATGTCTCCCGCTGGAAGTGATGGTGTCTCTCTGTCTGTCTCGGGTAAATCCTCACCATCTGGCTGTGATTGGCTCATTTCTTTTATACTGAAACCCTAAAAGGCATAATCACACATTGTATGGAAAACAATCCATCTTTGGATCTGACATCCATTCCGCTTCAAAACCCCAAATTGCTCCCATAAAGCGCCTGGTATGACACGCACACACCGAGACACGTTGTGTGAGGTTATCTGACTGGTATCTGTAGCTCAGGTCTGTAGAGTTTTTTTGTTTTGTTTTGTAGTTTGTTTGTTTTTTCAAATTGGCCTCCGTCTGCACCTATCTGCACGCGCTCGTCAGGATTCGCAGCCTGATGTGTGTCAACACTTTTCTATGCGTGTGTCCGCAGTTTCCCGGTTTTGACAGTGGAGGAGTTGGCCTAATTGTTTTGAAGGTTTCCTGTAAAGCTCCGTAAAGAAACCTCACCTCTTCTTATTTATGCGGTGTTACAAAATTTGTTTGGTTACCCAGACCGCTTGTCATTCACCTCATTTTTTACATTCAGTATATGTAACTCTCCACCTGAAAGAGTAAAGAACCACTGTTGTCTTCTGTGCCAATTTTGTAGTCACGTCTTTTTATCCTCATCACTCTGGGGTCGTGCTTATGTTGTCAGTCTTTTTACCTTTTAAACCTGAATCTTTTCCTCAGAATGGCAATAAAAAACGTTTCCAGGTTGCTTGGCAGCATCGGCAAGCAAAGAGGGGGTGTCTTTGACAAATTACAGGCCCCAGAATTGGAGTCATCATTTCTCAACTCACCTCATTTACCTTAATAGTGGAGGTAAAACTGAGATTCACAACAGCTGATTTTCAGCTGGGTAACAGATAAACAGTCTTGTGTGCTTGTGAAGCACTACTGGAGGGATCAGCCATTTTTCCCAGTCCTATTCCCTCAGTTGGTGTTTTGATGATGGTTGTGGAGAGTTGTGTCCTACGGGTGTTGAGTTCAGTTGAGATTTGGTGGCTGCAAAGGCCACAGCATATGATACACATTATTTTCATACTTAAAGCACATTCAGTGCTCCCTCTCTTTTGCTGCATGGATGGGGACATTCTCATCAAGGGAGAGACCACTGCAATCAGGACGGAAATGTTTCATTTATGTGATAAAGACGATCAATCAAAACAAACATGGGATGATTGATGTCACGTTAGCGCAACAGAACCCCTCATTTTTGGGGCTGTTTATGATACTCATGCACTTCTCAGCAGTATGGTTAAGGATGCCTCACAGGCTGTCAGCACTTTTTCCACATGCAGCTTCTTTTCTTCTGACAATAATATCTAATGTCATTAATGCACAAACATCACAAAGCCATAATTTGTTACCCACTATGTACTCTTTCCTGCAGATCTAAAGCCACATACCACTTTAGTCACTGTTCCTGTTAAAACACTGCCCACCTGAGAAGCCTTTGAGACTGGCACGCTTGCCATCTGCACCTTAGAAAAATCCAATTTTCCAGAAGCATTTAAGTCTTTCCCTTCTCCCATCCATACAAAACCTGGAACACCTGCTCAGCATTATTATACGTGCCACGAGGCGTCTTTTGTGTTGAGTTTTCCACATCTCCTTAGATTTTTCCTTTATTTCATCACCTGTGTGTGTATTATTAATATACGCATAACTCTTCCTATTCTATAAACATGCCAGACATGTGCACACCTTGTGAGAGAGTACTGTGTTGATTTGTAGGAGGAATTTAGCAAAGCAAAAATAAAAGCTGCCTTTTATTCAGGTGTTTCTGATTTTGTTCATTTATTTATTTACTTCATTTCTTTGTTTTCAAGATGTAATATATGTTATTCATAATGAAAACTTTATTAGCAAGATGTCATGTTGGTTGGAGCAGCAAGAATATTTTAGTAAACGGAATAATTTGTTTTAATATCTGTGGGAAACTTGTAGATTTTTAAGTTAGGCAGATTCAACAGTAACCTCTGCGTCTCTTTCCAGGAATTTGATAGCCTGGCCCATCTGTCAGATCCCCGCTTCAGCGCCTACCAGGGTCACAATGCCTTCAGAGAGAAGTACTTCAGTGGACTTAACAAAAAGTCCACCAAGGAGAACAACAAATCTGACGTTAGCGGGGACTGAACGCATCAGTGGGATGAAGATCACCAAATTTCCTCAGTGTCTTATCAAAAAAGATGAAACTTTTTAATCAGCGCATTGTTGTCAGTGCTCTCAAAAGAAAAACAAGTTATCCCATTCTTAAAAAATCTATTTGTTTTTTATTTCTTTGCAAATAAACCAAAAATGTGCGTGTTCTTTCTGAGTGGTACTTTTGAGAGTCTGAAATTGGGTAAGAGAAAGGGAAACGAAGTGCATCTCTATAACAAATATTTTCTAATGTAACATTTATAATTTAGCTGTTAATTGTAAAATGTGGTAATTAAGAATTGACCAGAGTCCCCAAAACATGGATCCATGATGCAGGTTGTGCATAGTTCATAATGTGGAACGTTCTACCTGGAAGACACCAGTGTCTATGTATGTATGTCACATGCTCAGATACTAAAAACCCAAATATATGATTGCTGATGTCACTGTCATAACACAGCTCTGCCATAACCACATTCCAAAAGTGTTTTCACACTCTCTGTTACCTAGCAACTGGTCTTTATGTGTAAAATTGATAAGAGTCTATATTTTCTCATATTTACTATAATTTTACCCCCATGATGCCAGTGCATCTTATACAGATGAGGTCAAAATGATTACCCGCCCTATAAAATTGAAATTTTCTGTCAAAAATTTTTATTAAAAAAGTGTTTTTTTTAGCGTAGCATTCCTAACCATACTGATTTTCCCCATAAAAGATAAATTATTCCAGAGAATAATTCAGAACAAACAAAATTGACCAGGATCAACATTATTAGCCCCCTGAGAAACTGACCATTTCACTGAGCCATAGTACAACCCACAGCTGTGTCTAAGAATCCAAAATTAAACTGGGATGTTTGGAAAACCTGTCTTAAAAATGACTTGCTCTGTTGAACAGCGCTTTGGAAATCCTTAAACAAAAGATTTAAATTTCATAGGGGTGCTAATAATTCTGTCCTCATCTTTACATTAGCTCTGTCAGTTTAACCGACTTTAACTCTGTCATAGAGCCCACATATTGAACAAAACAGAATGGACATTTATATCCACGGTTCTGCTTTGGCTCAGAGTAAGGGAGCATGTTTAGGTGGCCTCCCTGTGCAGGCAAGAGCCCAAATCACAGGGCGTCCCCACTTCTCCACCACTACAGTTAGTCAGCAGCTTTTGTTGTTTTCTGACCACAGTTTACATGCAGCCTGGCTCATTATTCATCTCCTGAGAGCGACGTAGCTGGCCCTCATGTGCATTACCCCTTTGCTCTGTTTATCAGTTGGGCCTCTGCCTTTCCACCACACTTCCCCTTCGCCCTGCTTCACAGGGAGAGTTCCTGGCACCATCACATGATACCCGGCTCACCATCGTTTGCGGTGCGTGTTGTTTACAGTTCCCACAGCGGCCTTTTGTTGTCCATCATCATCAAGCGAAATCAAATTATTCCACAAGACAGAGACCTCGGCTTTCCTTACTTTTCACTTCTGCCCTCTTGCTCTTGGTATTTTCCTTCCCATATTCACCACAACAGAAGAACACTGTTAGTTGGAGATGGTAGTTTTAATGCACATGCTGTCTATTACTGTGTGTGTGTGCTTCCATAATACAGTGATAAAACAAGTTCTCAGGAGCCCTCAGACTCCAGTGATGCAGACTATAATTAGGGAGAGAGAGGGAGGGTATGTAGGGGGGGTTCCTCTCTACACACACCACGTAATGTTGTCCAGACGCTGAGGAAATTCTGTTTGTGCCCATGTTTATACATGTGTGTACTTGCGAGATCTGGTTTTGTTTTATGTTGGATGCTAACTGCAGCAGAGCAGTTTCCTGATGTCGGTCTGTGATAATAAAATGATTCGAGACCTAACTTGTAAATATAATCATACTCCAAACACTGGTTGGATTGATAATTACAGAGATGCCTCCTTCTTTACTTTCTCCTTTTGTAGTGATATACATATTATTTGATGGGGTTTTAAGCAATGGTTCTCTTCCTGCTCCATTCATGTCTTTATACTAAATCTTTTATCCCTCCCTTTTGACCTGTAGCAGTTCTTCTCTTCAGCTCCTCATTTGGTCACCTCTGCCCCTTTCCTCCTCTCTTTTGTTTCTCAGAGGGGAACCCCCTGAAGGAGTGGAGGTCCACTGTTTTGGAACAATGACTCCTGATTAAACTCCCTTCAGTCTGAAAGTGATCTTCAGCCTGCTGAATCAGTGACAACAAACGGCACACTTAGGACACTTGCATGCAATCGATGACTTAAATCTAATTATTAGCATCAGAACAAACTGACTCCCAGGTTCTCCACACAAAAACAATTTAGAAAGCAAATTTTGAATCCAAAGGAGAAGGTGACTGCAACTGGAACTGAACAAAAAAGTTATTTGACTCATTATTGCTATTACTATTATTATTGGGATTTTTTTTTGCATGCATGGCAATAATGTCATTGATTGTGGATATAAAATCTGATGCCTTTGCACCCCGTAAGTGGGACACAGTAAAAATGAGACATTTCAGTCAAACTCTGGGCCACAGCAAGATAACTACATGAAATGTAGTCTATTCGTGACCCAATAAAATACACTAGTTTCTAGCTAGTTGTCTGTCTAAAAAATATGAATTAACACATTAACAAAATGTTTTGTTGTACTGTACCACAGCGTAAGACTTGAATCTTTGTAGAGCCTACAACAAGCCCACATTTTCACTCGCATTCATGGTTGTGCGGGTGCTGTATGTGTTAATTACCATGTAGGTTGCTTTCCGATACGAATTTGCTGACATTTGTGAGTCCTTGTGTTGATGCTATCAAAATGATTCCTTATATTTAGACAATTATTTTATTCTCTCACTGGTAAATTCAAAAACTGCAACGAAAAAGTAGCCAGAAATGCACAGGAGGAATCGATGGTGCTAAACAGACCGGTCCGCAACATGATGGATAGTTAGAATTATAGAGAAATGCACATAAGGTAACACTAAGTTGCAGTATAAGGTTTCAGAGGGGTTTGCAGTTAAGGACTGGTAGCTCCAGCATAGATTTCCCGCTGAAGCAGGAAGTGTCCAGCACATAACAATGACATTTCCTTTTTACCCATTTTTTTTATCCACTGCCAAACACTTTCTAAAATGTTAATAAGAGACATCTAAAGTGTGGCTGGAGGGCTTAATTTTGTTAGCTTTGTTCTTTTCACTTTGTTCCCTCGTTGTTTCAACATCTTCTCATTCCTCTGATCCCTGGTCAGAGGTCACAGTATTGTCTCATGATGTCCTCATCAGATCTGACTTGAAGATGTGCCACGCATTTGTTTGCTAGTGACAGATAGCAAGTGATTATACACCTACTGACCCACGACACGAGCTAACACGTTGGCCTTTTTTCACAGAAATGTGTGGAGCACCTGATGCATGAGGGCTTCAGTATGTATGTAAATCCTGTGTGGGTGTGTGCGCTTCAGAAGGGGTGATGAATGTGTGAAGGTGAGAAACTTCATAGTGCACAGCTGGTGTACAGGATTGCCTAAGCTAACACACATGCACACACACACACACTAACATATGTGCTGCAGGTGCTGTGCACCTGTCCATAGCCAGGGGAGTTTGAACACCTGCAAGTCCTCCACCCTTTCTCGCCTTGCATCACCCACCCTCAGGTCAACTTGGTGCCCTCATCCACCCCGTGAAACCAGGCTTTGCTCTTGTAAGTAATGATCAAGGTAAGGTGAGAACTGTCATCTTAATGTTTGGGAGGAGAAGCACAGCAGAGGAAGAGCCATTATAGTGCTACAAATCACCACCATTCCCATTTCACACAGCTGTGTGAAACTCAAACCATGCTCAGAAAAAAAGCACACAGAAAAAAAACAGAGGAAAGAGGGCGGGAGGATAACATCGTGTGATTAAAGATACGCCATTATTTTGCAATCAGCGATACAGCACATCCTGTGTATTTTCCTTCTCACACTGACTGAACATGGTGCCACTAGATGACAGCCTTGAGCAGAGAAAATGAAAACGATGTTCCTGTGTGTTATACATGTACTGTACTCTAGAATGCAAACTAATTCTGTACAATCAATGGTCTGCAGCTTGTAAACAAGCAGTTCAGAGGCGTTTGAAGTGATAGAGCTGTGGTTGAGAAAGTGCAGAGCAGCTCTGAACACATAACATCCTCTTTAAGACAATCGCATGGAAGTGATGAGGGTTGTCGACCCAGGAAATAAAGGGGGTGACTGAACGTCTTGTCACACAACTTCCTCATCCTTCTTTCACCTTTCCAGAGTTCACTGTCAGCAACCACATCCGACTGTGATATCACAATCATCTGCGGTTCTATCACACATTAAAGCTCACTGAAGCTATACTCCAAAAACTCATGCTTAACTTAGAAAAACCAACAGAAATTCCAGTTTGTGGTTTGGGTAACCCCTTGTTTTCCTACATGTGAGCCTCTAAGTTCTTAAGAGGACTTCACACATGCATTGTTGTTTTTGCAAAATGACTTGTTTTTCTTTGTGTGCACTTTTACAGTGGTCTGAAAAAGTGTTTGCCCAGATTGTGATTTCCTATTTTTTGTATGTTTGTCATACTTAAATGTGTCAGATAAAACCAATGTACTTATTAGACAAAGATGAACTAAAGATAACAAACATGTGTGAAAAAGTGAATGCCACCTTAACCTAATAACTGGTTGGGCCACGCGCAGCAGCAACAACTCCAATCAAGCATTTGGTATAACTGTTAATAATTCTTTTAAAGCACTGTGGAGGAATTTCGGCTCACTCATCTTTGTGGAATTGTTGTAATTCAGCCACGTTCTCAAGCACGAACCTCCTTTTTAAGGTCATGACTTTGACTAGGCCACTCCAAAGTCTTCATTTTGTTTTTCTTAAGCCATTCAGAGGTGGACTTGACTTACTGGTGTGTTTTGGATCATTGTTCTGCTGCAGAAACCAAGTGCACTTCAGCTTGAGGTCATGAACAGGTGGTCGGACATTCTCCTTCAGGATGTTTTGGTAGTCGGCAGAATTCATGGTTCCATTTACCACAGCAAGTCTTCCAGGTTCTGAGGCAGCAAAACAGCCCCAAGACCATCACACTACCACCACCATATTTTACTGATGGTACGATGTTCCTTTTCTGAAATGCTGTCATTTTTACGCCAGATGTAATGGAGAGACACCTTTCAAAAAGTTCAGCTTTTGTCTTGTCATTTCACACAGTATTTTCCCAAAAGTCTTGGGGATCATGAAGATGTTTTCTGGAAAAACTGAGACGAACCTTTATGAACCTTTTGCTCAGCAGTGGTTTTCATCTTGGAACTCTGCCATGCAGGCTGTTTTTTGCCCCGTCTCTTTCTAATGGTGGACTCACGAACACTGACTTTAATTGAGGCAAGTGACGCCTGCAGTTCTTTGGCTGTTTTTCTGGGGTCTTTTGTGACCTCTTGGATGAGTCATTGCTGCACTCTTAAGAAAATTTAGATCGGCTGGCCACTCCTGGTAAGGTTCACCACTGTTCCATGTTTTCGACATTTGTGGATAATGGCTCTCACTGTGGTTCGCTGGAATCTCACAGTTTTAGAAAGGGCTTTATAACCTTTTCCAAAATGAGAGATCTCAGTTACTTTGTTTCTCATTTGTTCCTGAATTTCCTTGGATCCCTGTGTGATGTCTGGCTTTTCGGGATCTTTTGATTTACTCCACGTTGTCAGGCAGATCCTATTTAGGTGATATCTGGATTGAGAATAGGTGTGGCAGTAATCAGGCCTAGGTGTGGGCAGATAAACTCAGGTTTCTTAAGATGTGTAACACCACAGTTAGTGTAGTGTTAAAAAATGCAAACTTCCTATACAAAAAATATGAAATCAGAAAGGCAGCAAATGTTTTTTTTATACTGCTAAATGTGTTTGTGGAGGGCATCACACTTATTACCACCAAAAATGAGAAGGGAGGGGAAAAACGTGTTTGTACCAAAGAGCAGCAGGGAGCAAAGGGAGCT